GTTGTGGCAGTTCGGTACCCCGACCTATGCAAATGTATCAACGGCCTGTGGGAGTTGGGAAGTTTCGCCTCTGGAGGACTCCCTGACCGACCACCAGGGTTTCAATTAGTTCTTTGGGACACAAATGCTAGAATTAATGGCCTAGTAGCAACAGATTTAGAAACGCTCGTCTCAGAGGTACTACACCCATTCCCACACAATGCTGGATTTGCAGATGGACTTTTTGTAATGACCACGGCAACAGATCACAAGAACAACTTGAACCGCTCCGTGCTCAAAAAGGATTATGTCCGCACCCTGCGCGTAGAAACAATAGCCAACTCAGCAGGAGGAACAGCACAGGTATCAATCGTAGCTCAGCCAAGTATCGGATTTTTAAACACCAAGTACTACTCCAATGGCTACCGAAGACTGCCTCGGCAGAATCACTGTCGGACTCACCCGGTCCAAATCGTTAACCCTGCTTGTCTCCCCGCTAGACATGATGGGGCTCATGGGCATGGCGCAGGTGATTGCGACCATTGCATATGGCATCCGGAGAGGAGAAACGACATGGGGGTGGCCTGACTTTGATCCTGACCCAGCACAAGAGAATCTCGCACAGTTAAGCCGGTGGTCACTGAATTCAGCGCCAGCTTGGGAATTCCCTCCCCTTGCAATCGCCAACCAATACCACGATCAGCAAGCGAACGAAGTGAAGCGGGCGAGATACCGTCTAATATTGGTGCGGGGGTCAGACCTTCGCTGGTTCAACAGAGAGCGCCTCCAAGAAGTCAAAGCAGGCTTAGCAACTCAACATAAGTGGCTCCCTGAGCAGACTCTACCGTTCTCTGAAGTCGTCCTGTATGCCTACGCGGCTGATCGCACACCCTTTCCCACCTACGTGTGCCTGCCTTCAGGACTGTACAAAGCTCGCACCGGGCAAGTTGTAGCACAAACTGGCCCAGAGCAAGAAATCCTGTCCCTGCCTGGTATATACTTCTTTGATGGATGGCGATTACACCCTACGTTGCCAATCCCAGACCACTTGCCATGCGCGAAAGAGGCGCCAGTTCAAGACATCGCTCTGACTGCACCTGCACCTGGTACGGAACCCAAACGGTCGCCGGAAGAAGAAGCGAGAGACATCCTGGCAACAGCTGCCAAGAATCAGCCCGAAGATGGGCCAAACACAAGAAGAGCAGCAGTCCGCGCATGCAAGTACTTAAGAGCTATGGTCAACCAATATGAGTCCACCATCCAAGCAGTGCATATAGCCGCCCGTACCCATACACAAAAAAGCAAGGGCACGGTAGGGCCAGCAGTTGACTATCGCCCGCAAGGAGAAGCCCTCCCAGTCACCTCCTCAGACCTGACTTCTGAATTACTGCATTGCTTGTCCACGCTTCCAGACCATGGCCCCTGGCCAAGATCACCATAGACATGGAGAAGCCGAGCCAGTGGGTCTCCAAGTTGTGCAGACTCTACTTTGCTGATGAATATGCCAAGCGAACGGTCGGACTGCCTTCACGCAGGCATGTCCCGGACATTGCGGGCGCGCTTCGAGCAGTCCAGACCATCCTCCCCAAACTCGAAGTGAAAATGATGGAATTTTTAGCTGAATGGATGGTCACTCTTTTAATGCCAGCATCGCACGTACTGGAAGTGAGGGCACCTCACCTTTCCTTAGGCGACCCGATGGCTCAGTTGGTATGGCGTTGGTCTTGCCAGCGCTGACAGACTGCCGGTGGTCGTTCGAATCCCTGCTGGTCCACTAGGGAGTCTCAAGTGCGACCCGCCGAAAGGCAACGGGCGCTGACCACAAAAAAGACTGCACCTCACCTTTCCTTTATGATGCTCAAGGAATACTGGTTTAGAGAGCTGTACCTAGGCTTGAAAGTCACAGCATCCTTCGACCCCTCCGAATCATGTACCAGAGTGATCGATGGTCAGGTAAGATACATTTGCAGGACTGCTCAACGGTGGAACGCGTCCTCCTCGCGGGCGAGCAGTGGCACCTTACCCTTGGCCGCATTTCAGTGTTCCAAAAGTTGCTTCTTGTCACTCGGAGAAACAGACTTGAACGCATTACACTTGGAGCGGTTTTTCACACAGTATACCTGCAGGAAAGGTACATGGGGATCCAAACGCGGAACTGAAATCTACGCATTAAACACACCGCAATGCACACGCACGCTGGGTCACAGGGGTATGCTAATCCCATCCTGGGTTACCCAGGAGTCTCTCGCCTTGAGGTGTACGAGGTAGTTAACAGTGTAGGCAGGTTTAGTTCGGGTCAGTTGCGGGAGCGGAATTGTTCCACCTCGCCGTCTGGCCCAAACCTTGGGGCCGTTGGGTCTCTCTGTATTACCAGAGGGACCTTCCCTGGGGCGCACGGGTTAGGCGGAACAGAGGTCAACCGTGTGGTCGGCGGTTGGTTTCTTTGGTGTCTTCAAGTTGGGTGTGTCCTTAACAGGTTTGTGACCCAAAGGTACCTGCACTGGTACATTCTACGTACAAAGGGAGCGGTCTTGGAGGCTAATAGCCTGGTTTCTGGGGTCAGAGTCCACGCGACCGAGTGGAGTGTTTTGTCCGGTTTGTCTCTGTGTTCTGTTCACTCTTCCTTCTCCGGAGAAATGTTGTATCGCAGAGAGAAACTACAGACGCTTACGGCACTATGGAAATGCCAACAAGCACTACAAGCCAAACCACACAGGACAGCAGCTCGCGCTTTGGGAAGAAAAGTAGCTAGAGTACGTAAGCAAGTCCGCAAGGTCAAACAACGCAAAACACGACATATCCGTATTCGTATGTTCCAACAACAACAACAAGAACATAGGGAATGGCAACGTGAGTGGCGCATGGCAACATGGAACACTCGAGGGCTGGGAGCCACTACAGGGTACATTAACCAGGAACTCAAGATACAATGTCTCCTAACTCGTATGGCATTACAAAGATGGGGCCTCATCACTCTTACTGACCTCATGTTCAGGGAAAATGGAGTCCGAACATATCGTCACAGGGGCAAGTCATGGTATTTGGTACACAGGCAACAAGTAGGTTTTTTGATGTCCGAAGTATGGTGGAACTGGTGGCAAGCAGGAGGAGCAGTGGTATATCAGAAATCATCACGAGTAGCAGCTATCGCCTTTCCACGCATGGGCTGGAGACGGGGTTTATATGTGGCTGGTATATACGCTCCGACTAGTGCATCCGGAAAGGAAGAACGAAATACATTACGGCATGATTTAGAACTCATCCTAGAACCAGCCCCGGCGACTAGCCTTATAACAGTGATGGGGGATTTTAATGCTGAAATGGGGAACAACCACCACAGGACTATTAGTGGATGGGATGCTGTAGGCCATTTTTCTAATCCCAAAATCACCACACCGGGACAGGAATGGAGGGACTGGTGCTCACGACATGGATATCGAGATGTGGCTAGTCGTTTTCAATGTCGCAACAGAGTGTCTTGGACCCATCCTAGGTATCTATCCCAACATGAACTAGATCATATTCTGGTTAAAGGGGTTGATGTATGGCATTTAAAACAATGTCGATTCCTGCTGGAAGGTAGTAATGTAGCCGCACCCTGGTCGACATACACGGATCATAATCCAGTAGAACTCGTCCTGAAAGTAGGGAAGCACTGGAGCCCAAATCCGCGCACAGCTTCTCGAGTCGCCCTGCCGGACGTGGCACGCATGCGAGGTCAGGATGAAGAGGCAAACACTCTCCGAATGAGATGGGTACAACAAGTGGAGACTAAATTAAGTAATTTGTCGGGATCCCCTAACTGGGACGAAATATGCAACCTATGCCGCACAACAGCGGTGGAAGTATGTGGAATATTGAAACTTCATCATGGGGCCCCCTGGTTACGGTATCATGGCACAGAAATACAACAGCTGGATACCAACATCATGAATGCACAACACAGAGATCGCGAAGCACGCCGACAGGGTGATCCACACAGTATGCAACAATGTCGCACAGCTTTGCAACATGCGCGTAAGATCAAGGCACAAAAGGTACGACAATGGGAGACTACATGGCTGTCACAGAAAGCGGAGGAAGCTAACAGGGTTATGGGGACCCCATCTAGCACCAAAGTGTTTCAACTAGTCAAGGAATTAATCGCTGCAGTTGGAAAGGGCAATCGGGATGGAGGCCGCATACAAGCAGGTAGCCCCGCTGAAGTGGAAGAGTGGAAAGATCATTTTCAGGCCATACAGCAAGGTATTGGGGACGTGGATGACACTATTTGGCCGGACATATCACCACGGGACACAGTCATGTTCTTGGATGACCCACCATCCTGGGAGGAAGTGGTACGGGCTATTCGGGATATGAGATTGGGCAAAGCTGGAGGGGAAGATTGTATGTTGGCGGAATACCTCAAATATGGAGGCCCTCAACTACAAAAGGAAGTTTTTCGTATCGTCCAGGAATGTTGGCTGTCAGCCACACAAGCTTCCGCAAATGAAGAAGCTCAGCACTGGCCCCCACTATGGAAGATTGGAGTGACTGTTCCATTATGGAAAAGAAAGCACCCTAGGAGTAGCAAACATAACTGGAGAGGAATCACCCTTCTTTCGGTAGGTAGTAAACTAGTGGCCAGGATCTGCGCTGCAAGACTCCAACGGTGGGCTAATCCGTGGCTCAATAAGCTGCAATTCGGATTTAGGTCTGGGTCAGGGGTAGATGATGTACACCAAGTCACCAGGAGACTGTTAGAGGAAGCAGCACAGTCCGTACATCCCCACACACTACTATTCAAATTCTTTGATTTGGAGAAAGCATACCCGAAGGTACCCAGACACGCATTATGGAAAATACTTTCATTAAAGGGATGTCCCCCACAGTTTCTCAAGGTACTGAAAGCAATTCACGATGGGACTCATACAAAAGTACGTCACCAGGGATTCACATCCAGCACTTTTGTACCCGACCGTGGTCTGCGGGAAGGGTGCCCATCATCTCCTATACTTTTTAACATCTTTCACGATTCACTTATGGAAGTGTTCCGTGCACGGCGCGCGCGCACAGCTGAGACCATCAATGAAGTCCCGGGGATTGACATCACGTATAAGGTAGATGGACGGGTCGCAAAACGCCGAAATGATCGTAATGATGAAGGCCGACATACAAAACAAGCCAGAATTGGCGACTTTGCGTACGCAGACGATACGGCGATTGTAGGAGTAGCGGACGAAATCGTACACGTAGAACCCATTTTTGGACAAACTGTTACAGCATTTGCAGGCAGAGTCAACGAGCACAAAACAGAAAGTATCCGCGTTTGCCAAACCGCTCGCCCAGCATTTGATGTTCCAGCGCAAGGCGAAACCACCATAGTGAAACATGTAGGAGCTATGTTATCTGAGCGTGCTGGGCACACAGCAGACACAGATCGAGCAGTACGTCAGGGTGTGCAGCGTGTAGAGCAGATATCAGCAGCATGGTCGAAAGGTCGTCAGGTACACACACGTAGGCGGGATCTCAAATTGTCAGTGCGCATCCGTGTGCTCAAAGCTGTAGTCAAAGGGGTCCTTTTTTCTTTTGTGCGCACCAGGTCATGGCAAACCAGTCAGGTGAATCGGTTGCAGTCGGTCATCAATCTTGCGGTACGTAGGGCATTCAATGTGCGGACCTATAACTTGAGACGGTGTGGGCTAAGCAATGCGATATTATGTCGTATGGTACAATGGGAACCTTTTCTGACCTCCGCGCGGCGCGCATCTCTTTTATGGCTCGGACATGTAGCAAGGATGGACATTACAGCCCCACAAAAACAACTACTGTTTGGTTGGATATCCGACGCAGGCGCAAAACAACACAGTCCTTTTAAACAGGCCCAATGGTTGAATGCATGTTTACGCGATGCGAACATTTCGGAAATAGACTGGTATCGCCTAGCGCAGAATCGCACACAATGGCATAAAATGGTACATGCAGCATACCCCAAAGAAGTAGTCCTTTTGGAACGAGAAAGGGAACTAGACACATGGCGCGTAGGACAACCCATTCCACGCTGGGCTATGGTCAACCATGCACAAGGGGAACGAAACTATGAAGATAGCGATAACGAGTTGGGGGAGCGTCGCCGGGGGGGTGACCATCGTAGAGTCGAACGACGACAGTATGGCCAACTCCCTCAGGACAATCGGGTGCGTGCAAGGGATGGGGGTACATTGACATGTCCAGTTTGTAATCAAATGTTCGCAAAGCACAACTTGTTAGCATTCCATTACGAAGCTATGCATGCCATTTGTGACCCTGCACAAACTACTGTTCAGTCTTTTTCTTGTTCGACGTGTCTACAAACCTTTCGGCGAGCTGGAGATCTTAAATCCCATCGATGTCCCGCCAAAGTTCTGTTACCTCGTTTCAGTCACATAGATGATGACGCACAGGTCCCAGGACCGGACACATCCCTTTCTATTCCGTTACCCCAGAGTTGGCACATATATACTGATGGGTCAGGGGGCAGTAGCGGATCGGCAGAGTCACCACCACAAGCGGGATGGGGAGTAGCCGTTTTTGATGTGCCAAACCCAAACATGTCCACCACATGGCGTGCGGTATTATACGGACCAGTCAATATCACACCATATGACCCTATTTGGTTGGGAGCTCGAGTACATTCCAACAACACAGGTGAGGTTAGCGCTATAGGGGAAGCATGCCGTTACCTTCTCATGATTCATCGTAATATACCGCAGGATCATCCCCGTAGGGCTACCATATATTACGATTCAACTTATGCATACGGGGTGGTTACACGACTTACCAAAGGTCGCGAAAATGTAGAACTCATTGACACGGTGGCATTGCTCCTGGAAGCCACACGCCGGGTATTTCAGGTAGATTTTCAACATGTCCGAGCACACACGGACATATATGGAAACGAAGTAGCAGACAGACTAGCCAATAGAGGAGCAGCGGGTCGGATTTCCCCTCACGCATTCGCATGGACGGAACATTTTGCAGGACCGATGGGAACACCTCCGCCCCCACCCGCACCCAGAAGACCCCCCCGGCAAGGTATGCGTCGCCCTGCAGCAGCACAGGGCCCTCGACAAGGTCGTTGGCCGCTTCTGGAATGTGACTCTTGCAGAGAAATGTTTCGATCGTGTGATCTACCACAACACCAGCCAGATTGTCGTGGTCCGGATCCCGCCAACAGGAAGTGTAAATATTGTGATCACCCCCCTTTTGTCTCTGTTCAAAGCAGGAAAAATCATGAACGTTACACCCACTCTGCCGAAGCCCTCCGGGATGGTCTTATTACCAAACTCTCCAAACGTCGAACCGGACGGTAGGTCCTAAGACTCCTTCGATTCGCCTATCCAAGTCCACCTGCCTCTTCTACTACCCCACCACAGTTTCAAAAAAAAAAACGAATAAAGCTACAACTTCCCGCAGCCATGATGAACATCAAGGTAGTTATCTTTTGTGTGCCCTTCCTCCTGGTGACCCAATGGCACGCCAACCCCGCGCCAATGCTCAAGACCCTGCCCGTAAGAGACGTCTGGACGAATTCGATCGTCGCCTCACCGCGATGGAAGGACAAGTCCGCACCCATGAAGACCGCATGGAAAACTTGGAGTATCGCTTTGAGCTGGAAACTGCTTACCGCTATCTCCGTATTGAAAATTCGCCTGGTCTTGACCAGATGTTTAAAGATCTGGCAGCCAAAACGATGGAAAATGCAGAAATCCGCGAGCGCACAGGGCAGGTTCTCATGCGTGAAATCCGCGAAGTATTCGAACGCGAGGTGGAAGAAGGTGAGCTCTCGGCCACAAGCCAAGCCAATAACCCCCGACGCAAGTGGCACACCCCAGCCGCACGAAAGGCCACTTTGGATGCATTTAATGTGGCACCCCTGGTGGACCTCTGCTCTCGCGCTGGGGATAATCGGTATAACCTACGTCTGCAACAAGGTGAGCCCTCTCGCGTGGCGTTCAATGCAGTCAAAAATATGCTCAACTGGGCCCTATATGTATATTCACAGCATACAACGGGAGATCAGTACAAACTCCAGGTTTTCCCAGACCGCGGACCTGCGGTGCGTCGTAGAAAGGGTTATGGAAAAGGAAAAGATAGGAAAGGCAAAGATGGTAAAGGCAAAGGCGCCAAAGGCAAGGGCACAGGGAAAGGCGAAGCCGGAGGAAACCAGGAGGGCTAGGAATCCCCGCAATGGTAGCCGGATCCAGGCGTGGTTTTGCGAAAACAACTGTACATTTTTCCTTTCCATGGAAATGTCACACACGGAAGCCTCCTTAGACCTAGCGTGATACTATATAATCATGTTCCCCTGGACAATGTGCTGACTCTTTTACATACTATACGGGATTACAGTCTTGTGTCGGTCCTCTGGTACAAAGCAGCCAGGAGAGGGAACTCCTACGAGGAGCCCTCCAGGTAGGTTGGTCCCTATCGGGGGCCACCACAGGTTTCTGCAGTACCATGTCAGTCACCAGTGTCTACGGTATGATATATACGTTTCACCTTCCTAAACTCAGGGCGATAGATAGGAAAGGAAGTTCATAGTTCTCCCTTTTTGTGGTCTCTTTTGTTTATTTCACACTCCACAGAATCATCCCTGATCCCACGGGTAGCTTGTCCAATGTTGAGACCGGCACAGGTCCGGCCTCCAGAGGTTGTTTCCAGCAGATCACCGGTACACCCGATATATACGTAACAAACCCCTTCATCATATTACTCGGATACGACCAAGACTCTCCCAAGATGTGGACACATTTCATTGTACAGTGCAAGGTCGACGCGCCCATGGCAATTCGTATTTCAACCTTGGTCCTCGAGAAGGTTGTGGCTACCTACGTCGCTCTCATCATCATCATCATCATATCATCAGAATTTGCAGGTCATTTGGAACATGCAGTTTATCACAGTTTTCGTGCCGGCATGGATGATCCCACCCGTATACCATAGCCTGCGCAGAGAAAGCATCAAAACCGCAAGTTCCGCCAGTCCCATAGGTGTCCAGTCGGTCCGCCCCACCTGGTTTGAAGACACAACACAACACCCAAGAATACCGCATCCCAACCTAACCAAGACCCTCAAAAAGAACAACCCCAGCCACTGCACGGGCTGTTAGTCATCAAAGAAGAGGTGCTGCCGACGAATGATCAACCAGAATTCCCATCGCTCGAACTGTTGGCTACCAGATGCCTTTTAGCACCTGACACGTGGAAGTGCAAACGGGCACAGGTTAGCCTCAAAGCAACCATTGATGTCATGCTGGGCACAATCATAGAACAAAATGGTGATGGACTCCTTGAAGACTCCCACATGCCCGTGGGATGGCCGTCAGACAATGTTGTATTCATCGAGCCGCTAGCCTACAAGAATTAGACGACATGCTCAAAGAATATAACATGAAAAGAGATTCAGTTGAAATCAACCATGACGCACCTCAATGGTCCCACCATGCAGTATGGAATCGGCAGTACATGGAGCCGAAACCAGGATACCACTGGAACAACTATGGATGATTCCGAGCCTGCTTTAAGCAAGAAAACGCCACGTCATTGAAATCCAAACAAATGACGTCTTGCGTGCGTAGCGCTACTGCTACCGGCGCTACTGGCTGCTGTATTGGCGGGGGTGATCACCACCCTCTGCTGGTTTCATCATTTGGGCGATGAGTGAGTGCTTTTGTTTTTCACGCAGGATCCGCGTCATTTCGCGAGTGATGCTGCAGGGTCATCAACTAGTTGTGCCGGCTTGCAAATCCAACACAGTGCGTACCTCCAGGAATTAGGTGGGGCAAGCCCTGTTGTCCCTAACGCTCTTAGGAGTCGGGTGGTGTGGGCTCGCACCTAACGTCGCAAGGGGTCGGCTTAACTCCGCATGCCCGTTAGCGGTTTAAACTAAATTTTTGTTCGTGTTAAACACGAATTCCGATGTCAAAAACACCTGACAGCTTCACTCACCGCGAACCTCAAGGTTGCAAATCCTTCACCCAAAACCTGTAGACTTTGGGATGGACCGAGGAACCGTCAACACAAAGTCCAGGCACCAGTACCTGTCTGTCAATTTTTGTGGTCGGCGCCCGTTGTGCGAAAATCCAACAGGACCTAATTACAACCACTAGTCGCGCTCCTAACGTCGCAAGGGGTCGGCTTAACTCCGCGTCGAGCGTTTAACAAATTAAACACGAATTCCCCAAAACACGACAGCTTCACTGCGAACTCTCAAATCCTTTTTCCACACAGGAAAAACACGAAGGCAAGTTGTCTGTCATGCACATGCAGCATGTTATAGTTGGACTTCTTCTGTTTCAGCTGCTTTGCCTTTGCAACATGCAACGGCGGCGGTAGACAAACATCATCAACATGTTGGTGAATTCAGTAAAGCTGAATTCACCATCTTTCCAAAAATAAATCAGCTTCACTTCCATCTTCTCTTCAAACGCACTATTTGCACAAAGTCCAAAAACATCCAAACTGTTGACAAAAATAGTTGGCAGCTTCCGAAAATAAAACGCATCATGCAGAAAACAAATCCAGTCAAGGTTGTGGTTGAAAACGCATGCACATGTGTTTGAAAAACAACGTTGAGCTTGTTCAAAAGGTCGTCGATACCAAAATCATCTTCAAATTCATTTGCAGTCCAGAAAACCTCGTTGCAAATGAATTTCAGTTCCAAAAACATTCTTCTTCTCCACCAAGTTGACGAAAAACATTCACATGCACATAAAACGCATCTTCACGGTATTGTAACCAATTCCAGTTGTTCTCAAACCATTCTGCATCAATTTCAGAGTTCTGCCCAAATAAACCATTGACAACATCATGTTGTAGCCACCATGCAAGTTACATCCAGAAACGTAGCACATGCAGTCCATATGCACGGGAGTGTATATTTCCATACCCCCTTTTGCTGCGTTTCCCATCCATAGTCAGCCAAAAATCCAGAGAAGTCTCAAAGGCTCTCATGCCACACATATGTATAAAGCTTTCATCTGTTCAACCTCCAGTGAGGACTTGCACACAAAGTCGCATCTTCACACCAGTTGCAGATGTATTGCAAAAATACCTGTGTACTTGAATTAGCCTTGTGTTGTAATCCATTGACCTTGTCCACATACTCATTGATGTAGAAAAATGAAAAGAACTGTGTCAAAGTGCCACATTGAAATTGCTCCACAACGAATTCCCTGCAGTCCAGCTCATCGCAAAGGAAGCCCAAAGATTCTGCAGAGAGGATTCATCACAACAAATTCCAGGCACATTGCACATGCAAAACCAAAAATCGCCACATCCAGCTCCACATTGGCATCCGCAATCACTCCATTAGCGCCAAGAGAATTCACGCTGGTAGACATAGCCGGCATTGAGGAATGCGTCTACCCTGCAGTGAATTAAGAATGCACAGAAATCCGGACCCTGTGTCCTTGGCGTTGGAGTTAATTTCTTGCGGAACTGGCCAATCATCTTCTTTGCGTAGCGGCACTCCTCCATGCTTTGGTTGAAGACCCTCACAACAAAGTCATGGTAGGTGATGGGCTTTTCGGCAAAACGGCCCATCTTGAGAAGCGTGCATGACCAGTGATATGTATCCTTGATCCATGCAGGCTGTGGCACATTGAAATCGACCTCCTCATAGTCGATTGTGGCATCTTTCCAATTGTCATCCCACTTGTGGGTTGCTGGCAGCCCTGACTGCACCTTTGGAAATAGTGGCGGGGAGTCGCCGGTGTCGGAGATGAATGAATAGCTCCCCAAAACGCTGCTGGCACTCTCTGCATCCGAATTTGACTCGACAGCTTCATGCCGTCTCTTGGAGCCATCGGTCATAGCGCCATTGTCATGCATTTTGTTCGAATTGCCTTCCACAATCTCCGGAGGCTCTTCGGAGATGCGTGCACACTTCGAACCAGAAGCTTTGGGCGGAGGCAGAGCTGGTCCTTTGGGACCCTGCTTCCCCTTCTCTCCATCCTTTCCTTTGAATTCACCTTTGAATTCTCCCTTTGCCACATTCTTGCCACCTTTGTCATCCTTGCCACCCTTCTCAAACTCTTTGCCACCTTTCGCAAATTCCGGCTTGCCACCTTTGGTATTGTCAGGCTTCCCACCTTTGTCATAGCTCTTTCCCTTGCCCTTCTGCTCCTGGAACGCTTTCTCACTTCCAATTGCAGATGCAGGCAAAATCGGTGGGTCTGCCTTTGCTGCAGGAGGTAGAGGAACCTGTGCATTGAATTTTGGAAATCCTGCAGACTGTCCATCAGCATCGGCACAGTAGCGGTTGGCAATCTCAGCAATGGCTGCAGCCGCAGCTTTAGCCTCTGCAATATCCGCATTCTTCTGCACCACATTTCCAAAAAGTTGTATCACAGGTTTGTCATTCTTTGGGTCTTTGGCATCCTCCTCAATCCAAGGGTCGTCATTGGGATCATATGGCCTGTCCTGCCATTTCTTGTGGTATTCCCGTGCATCGACGATCCCTGAATTCCCTCCAGCTTGCAAAGTAGGCGGCGGTGTTGTCGGAGGCACCTTGTATGCATTCTGGCTGTAGGCATCCGGCCATAGAGCACCAGACGGTGCAGCCGATGCAGCAGATGAATTCGAGCCTGTCGGAGCATGCACTTTGGAGGGGCTTGGAGGCACATGTGTTCCATGCAGTCCTTCCAATCATCATCATCTGGTGGATATGATCTGTTCATAGGTGCGTTCTTGACCTCTTTCTTGTGGACGGTCAATAGTTCATTCATTTTTCCACCAGCTTCTGCTTTGCGCATCAACTCGCGCAATTGGTCCCATTCTCCTTGTGTCATGTCCGTTCCCAAGACTGGGTCACTTGGGTTGTAAGGCATCGAATTCTCTCCCTGTCGGTACCATCCAGAAGCATCACTATGCCATTGCTGTGGTTTTGAAGCCATGGCGTCACGTCAGAACCGAATTCCTAATTGTGAACTGTTTCAACCCTCACACACACACACGCAGGAGTCGAGTGCAGCAGTTCAGCTGTTTCAGGGGTTCCTAAGTGTCCGCAACTGCTAAGTTGGGCGTGTGAGTGAATTCTGAAACCTGACATCCTTAGTTCTCCAGGCAGTGTTCTGACTTGCATTCTGTATCCAAAACGTTGCAAAACGAAAACAAACTTCTGTCCAACCCTGTCCACATCAGTCCAATGCAAAATCAACTGAACATGCAGACATGA